GTCATTTAAGTTCATAAAAAGAAGGGTACCAGATATCGCCCCATTATGAGAGGGTAACGAAGGTAGGCACTGTAACGATAGCTGAATTTTCTTCTATTTAAAATTTAAGTTATAACACTCAGAGACACGCAGCGTATTTGGCTAAAGTACGAAAATGCCGTTCAAGGCTGACGGTTTCGAAGTTGAAAGCTTGCTCCATCAACAACATATTCCTTCAACTGAGTACTGCCTTTCGTACTGGAATGCACGCATAATGGTTTCACTTCCCAGTACAGTAACGAAATAAACGCAGCCGATTTTCCGATAGACTTGTGTTATTCGGTCCGTTCATGGGGCTTAATTTTCCATTCTGTTTACTGTAAGTTATGTATAGTTTAGACTGTTGTATTGGTAAAGGAGGGACATGGAGGTAGTTCATATTCGAAGAATGGTTATATCCGCTGAAGATGTGGTTTGTATGCGGAATTTTGTGATTCGTGATTCAGTGCACCAGACAAAGCTTATGTTATAATATATTTTGCCTGCTCCTTTCGCTACCACACAGGTAACCTCAGCGAGGCACTGGTCTTGTGGCAGTCTACTGTGCATCTTAATAGTTGCTCTAATAATCGCAAAGAATATCTCGTTTCATAAGCGCAATCTGCTTTATCCTCTTATTAGGTCGGCTAATGGGCAGATGACACAAAGACGATGAAACACTAACAAGCGACATAAGAATGATGCTTTTTCACGTCGAATAAATGATACAGAAGACGGATGGCGCCTATCCGTCCGAAAACCAGATTTCACTGCGTATTATACGGTCACTTGGCTTTTGGGTGTCTAAGGAAACCGTTTAATTTCGCCACTTACATTTGAGCACCTGCGGTGCCAAATGCATTTCTCATCATTTTGTTTGCTGGAGCCACTTCACTCCTCAGGTCGACGTTTCAGAGGTTCGGCATTCTTTAATACGAAACATATATACTTTGTTGTTTATGCGATATAGGAGGCAAAGTTAACTCGACATCATTCACTAACCGATCAAATGTTAAGTTTCTCTTCCTTTAATATCACACTTCTTTTTTTCTGCTTTCGTTTTTGTTCTCTACTTTTCCGTCTGTAGCGATTCATTACTTTCTCGAACGACAAGTTTAATGAATTGTAATTTAAACGAATTATTGAAATTTTGATTTATTGAATTGTTCTTTGTATAACATCTCTGATGGCGCTTTCCGTTCCGAAAGCCAGAACATCGGGTTAGAACGGGAATGGACATTTTTTTGTCTCGTCCAAAGCCATTTCTCTTGAAAACATGCAGTTCGAAAATTTTTGTTTATTTCGAATCTCTTGAGTGTTTGTGTTTGCCCGATCCTTCTTTTTTAACAGTTCATTTCATAGGTTGTTCATGACTGCAGAAAACCCAGTATCATTCTACGAGAACAGTATCATATTCACATCCGAGAGGTGTTTGATACGCAGGTAAGTTTTAGCACAGTGACGCGCTATAACCGTTAATATTGCTTGTTCAGATCGCATACCACTTGATTCAACAACAGGAGTCGGACAGAACGGTGCCTTTCGGTCCGCTGAAGCAACTGAACCTGCTGCCGATCCCATTTACTCAGTTGCAGCAAGTATACGATCCGGTCGGCTTTGTGAACCGACAGCCTCCTCCGCCGTAATGAGGCGATAGCCGTGACAATCCTAGCTACAGTAGTATTTGACCATTGCCGCTTTTTCAGAACCTGGTCGACGAGGCCGGTCACCGATGAGGTGCTATCCGTCGCATCTGAACAGGCGCTCAGTCTTCTGCCTACGATATACAGAAGGATCAATCGGTATGAGAGGTGGATTATAGTTTATTAGTGCTCGTATCAGAACTGTCCGTCAGTTGCGCAGCATACTCTGTGTGAGTTCATTATTTCGACAGCGATGAGGGAATAGGGTAAATATTTTCATAGGTTGTACCTCAAAACGCTCCAGCGTTTTCTATTCACACCTTGTGAAATTGCTGGCCAGTCCACGCTAATCAAAAAGCCACAAAAATTGCATCTTATTTTTCATGTTTTTTGTGACACTTATGTGTGGTTCCATTTTGGCGCGTTCATCCATAATCATGCATCGATTCTATTTTGACTAGTGAACCTTTATCCTCTGCGTGACCCTATTTCTTCTGCATAATAATTCCCATACCTCATTATTAATGTATGAACCTGGCCTAGCGAATTTCTCTTCACTTCCCCGGATTTACTTCTCTGGAGTAGCCCAGAGGACCGTTTAAGCAGGCCACTGTTCCATAGTGTATTAGAATCTGCAGTGCATGGGTACAAAACCGCACCACTTTCTCGGTTCGAAAACCACCAGTGGTTATACCTCGATCCGTAGGCATATATGAGAAAAATTAACCCCGATGTTATGGTTTACTACCAGTTTGCTTGTTTTCGATACCGCCAGTAAGAACAACAATCTGTTGTCACTTCTATGGTTCACAGTGTATAGCTACGGACCGAGATACATTCACTGGTATTCAAACCAACGAAGTGGGCTGTTTGATGCCCATATGCTCAGACGTCAAAATATCATGGAGCCATGGTCTGCCCATGGTCTGCTCATAGAGTCCCCTGGGCTATTATTAGTGAGTTGACGGTGCGAGTACCCCGCGTGATTCTCGAGAAGTGAAAAGAGATTGATATTCTTGCCCACGGTATTGAAAAGCAGTTTGCTGGTAAACCGATAATAGCAGTGTTGATTCTTACTAGCTTCAAAGAATTCTTAAAGTTTCTTGATTAAGCATAAAGTTATTGGTTTTTATACCTTACGTTAATGCTGTATTTAGTGTTGACTGGTCTTTGTAACTTCTCATTTAAATTTTTTATGTAAGCGAATATGTAAGTTCTGTTATTTAAACTTTCATCATTGACCTTCCTGGTGTTACGAATAAAATAAGGGTTAGTTATTCTATTTAATGCCATCAATCTATTTATTGGTGTATTTATGTTATTAAATGGTGTTAGTTGAACGTTATTTCCTCTGTAAGAAATTCATTACTGCTTGGCTTCAGAAATCTGGCTATTGAAGTTGTAGCTACTGTTGTTTATATGATTATGCGAACTATCATTTCAGAAATTTTCTGTGTTCATTGGTTTGCAATAAGTAAACTTCACGTTTATAACTGTTACCAGGGATAATTTTTAACAACCACTGTTACCTTTACTGATGATGACAAGTTCGGTCAAAA